GGTAGTGAGCCGTGTGCACCTGGCCCGTGGTGAGCCGTGTGCACCTGGGCGGCAGTGAGCCGTGTGCACCTGGGCGGCGGTGAGCCGTGTGCACCTGGGCGGCGGTGAGCCGGCCTCTCTCTCTCCCCCAGTGCCAGGAGGCGCAGGTGCTGCGGCAGCTGGCGGAGAAGCGGGAGCACGAGCGGGAGGTCCTGCAGAAGGCCCTGGAGGAGAACAACAACTTCAGCAAAATGGCGGAGGAGAAGCTGATCCTGAAAATGGAACAAATCAAGGAAAACCGTGAGGCCAATCTAGCTGCCATCATCGAACGCCTGCAGGAGAAGGTAAGCGCGGCAGAGCCGGGGCAGAGGCGTTCGGGGTGCCCCCGGGGCGGGGGCGAAGGCGTCCGCGGAGGGCAGGGTCCCCCAGCAGCAAAGTGGGGCTGCGACAGGGGACAGGGAGGTCTGTCGGAGTTTCCAGTGGCCAAGGGTCTGGGAGGCGGATCCCTGCTTCTCTGCTTCTCGAAGGCATAAGAGGCGGCCGTAGAACCGGCAGAACCAGTCCCTCGCGAATACGAAATTAGAATCAGTAACTAGTTCGCAGTGTGGATGATGCGTAACCTGTAATGGACACGGCACACCACGTACGGCGCCGTGAGGCTGGGAAGCGCAGCTGTCGGAGGGGCCGGAATGTGCATGAACCGAGGGAGGCCGTGCCTCCACGCGGGCCCCGCTGCAAGGACATCGCGGGGAACCAAAACCGGGGCCACCGGGCCTCACCCCTCCCCGCGGTGCCCTGCGCCCTCCTCCTCCCGTCCTGCACTGAGCTCCCTCCCGCAGTCGGGGCGAGCAGCGCGGGCCCAGCCGAAAACGCTCGTGGCTCTAAGCACTCCATCCGCCACCCCACAAAAACTTCCCTTTGAAAATGGGCGGTCCAGCGACGGGCGATCCAGCGACGGGCGGTCCAGCTCGCCCATTGCCAGCACTCAGACCATCGAGAAAGAGGGCCTTGGAAGAAGATACCTCGGTCCTTCTCTGAGCGGTCACCCCCACCCTGCCCCAGGGCTGGGTGCTATTCGTGTCAGGCCCTGAAGATGCGAGGAGGTAGGGACCACTGGTCACTCGAGCTCCCAGAGGCTGGACAAGGCCAGCTTCCTGCTACCAAGTGTTCCTTGGGAAGCTTCACGCCGTCTGTCAGACCTGGCTCATTGCATCTAAGGATCAGGCAGGCTTAGCCTGACGACTCCTTATTTTTACCTCTACTCTCTACTACAAATGTCGGCCAGAACCAAAGGAGATCAGACACAAAACCCGAAAAAACATACCCTCATTTCATGAGGTTTTCTGGGAGGTGACCTGTGCAGTAAGGAACTCTGGAGAGCTTTGCTGGGATGGGCGGCTGGGCTCGGACGCAGGACGGCGAGGCTCCCGGAGGTGTGGACAAGAGCCAGAATAGGCAAGGAACGCCCTGGTCAAACGCTGAAAGCTGAGACTTAACTCACTTCCACAAGCTGGTGCGTCCAGACTCTCAGAACTGTCGCCGTGCTTCACCTAAGTGGGTCAGGTCAGGGTTTGGAAGAAGCACAGAACCCGGCTCCCGGCAGGTGACATATGGCGGCACCACAGCGAGTGCCTGGCCAAGATGCAGGACAGCGAAGCTCCACTGGCTAAAATGTACACCCCCGACCGTGAACCAGTCATCCTTTGTGTGCCTTCAGTTCCCACGTCCCCACAGCCGAGGAGACTCCTGCGGACAGGGCTGGTACCATGGACAGCAGAGCCCCACTGTGGGTTCTGCTCAGGATGACTGCGACTTGAATCTCGCGTCCTCGGCCCTGAAAAAAATCACATGGCGTTGCTGGGAATGGGGCACATTGGCCTCCAGCGGGATTCTCAGTGAGACCAGTGCAAGTCTTCATCATTGGCAGTTCAGGGGCATTAATGGTTCTGAAATTACATAGACACAAACTAGCGGCATAGCCCTCTTACTTTTAATTATAAAATAGTTCATGAAATTTGCATATTTTAACTAGTATTTCCAGAAGTGTTGGATTTTAATAGGCAACTTATTTCTCTCTGTGTATTTATCGTCACCCACCCCCTGCCCAGCTCCTTTCTGCACCCTTCCTCTCTCACCCAGATTTTCCCTCCTTCCACACACAGACATGCACGCACGCACGCATGCAGTTTGTCCAGGAAATAATCAGCCTACAGAGCGTCTGACATTCCTGACATCAGCTGCAGGATCCCCAGGGCTGGGACCCAGGCATCCATATTTTTTTAAAACTCTCTAGACGATTCCGGTTTCAGCCGAGCACTCTCCCTGGCGCCCCACAGCTAAAGAGATGCCTTTCAAACCAATAGGATCTCTGACCAGTGTCAGCCAGGATCTGTTATCTTTTCAATCAAGTGGAGATACTCCTTAGGGAATACCAAATTTACTTCCAGTCGATGTGCTTTAAATATGTTGTAGATTTGATACAATTCTGAGTGTCTATATGTGTAATAGAGCTACCTTGCTTTTCCCTAAAATAAGACAAATGACTAATAACTAGCCTTTTGTTTGAATGAAGTTACTACAGTGAAATTTAGAAATTAAAAAGAGGATCAGTAATAACGGTAATGCTGAAAATGCATGAAACCGCCAATCTAACATAAACTATTCTGGAATCTGCCAGATCAAAAGATGATCACTGCTGAAATGATACCTATTAATGAATTAATCTTTTTTGAGTATTTACCGAGTCCCCGTGACGTGCTCAGAAACAGGGGATGTAAAAGCAAAAAGTATTTCATGACCATCTCTTTCCCACCAAAGACGGTATAAAATCCAGCAATAAATATCACAGCGCCAAAAATTACGGAATAAGACAGCGTGAGATGTGGGTCAGTACGGACAGCAAATCCAGTAGCAATTCATCCACGTCGGGGCTGACACGCTCAGCGCCACCACTGTGGCAGCCCTCACGGCCCCGTCAATCAGCCAAGAGATGCGGTGCAGCCCCACGTAAGCTCGCGCGACCATCTCCCTGCCATCCGACCCTCAGTCCATCTTCTCGATTAAGAGGACTGAGCATGCGCGCAGCATGTACCCTCCCTCGTCACTGGTACCCATGATGGTGCTTTCGATGCCACTCGCTGATGGGTCCCAGAAACCTCTCGGAGTCCCGGCCACATTAGCTCAAAGCCTTCAGGTGAAACCGAAAGCCTCGACCAAAAGCAATCCCACCCGCACTTAAGAATCTACTGGAGAGCTCCTTAAAATGAGAGAGGCTGGTGTGATTGTCTGTGGTAAGACCCAGCAATCAGCGTTATTTTTAAAGCTTACCAGTAGGCACTAATATTTAGCCGGAGTTGAGAACGCTGAGCTAAAAGCTTTTTAAATAGGCTGTGTTACGCTTAACTTTTAAATATTTTTGATCTTTGTTCCAGGAAAGTGCTCCTTCTTCATTCGAAGAATGTTAACTATATCTATATATACACACATATATATATATATTTTTAATTCCTGTTCCCATAGCACCATATCTCAACACTCCAGCTTATTATATAGGAAATATTCAAATGTGGGGAATGGATGCCTGTGCCACCAAGACCTGCATTAGGCTGATCTATTTATGTCACTCGCAGCGAGTGACATAAATCGCCATGCCCGGGACCCATAACCCACTGGAGGACTGAGACTCTGGTGACGTTAAGTGTCCTTGTTCTTGGAATAGTGTAAGAAGTGGAAACGAGAGATGGGGAGAGGACACCTGTTTTCGCCGTGCGGGAGGGCGAGGGCCACTTGTTTCCTCCCCTTGAGCACCAACCACACAGTGTCCGGCCTGAAGTTCACCACCTGCCCCCCAGGAACCCCGAGGGAGAGCAGCACTCTCAGCAGACCCAACCAGGAACTGTAATGAGGAGCTAATTTTGAAAACTCGGTGAAAGCGAGTATAATCATTTTAACAATAATACATACATCCATGAAACATATAACTTTAATGTTAAATGTGCATTCGATTTACAATCTTTTGATGTAGGCCAGGGCTTTTTTTCAGAAATGGATCAGTAAGCCAGAGTTCTGTGCCTTTTTTTTCCTTGCATGAGGCACACCTTTATCACATTAACTATGATTTACAGTTTCGATCTCTTTAAAATGGAGTGAGGACTAAAGACATCTGCAAAATAATCCGATGTAGAATTTTCACAACTTTTCCCTAACTTTCATCATCAGTCCACCCACTAGCTAACAAAACTTCACTTTCGCAAGTACTTCCAAAGCTTTCTCTCCATCCTCACAGTTCTTCATACCGTAATATTCAATTAAATTACATAGATTTTCAAATGCAGCGAGCTGAACAGGCTGGAAGTCTCGTCGACTGTGATCAAGCACAAGGCTCCACCAGAGAGAGGACGAGTAGGTGGAAACACGAGGCTTGAGCAATCCACACGCAGAAGACTTGGACCGTGAGGTGGACGGAGGGCGTGCAGAGCGCCAGTTAACCCAGCAGCTCGTCTCCAAGGGCTTCCCCTGAACCCTGCCGGATTCTCCACCTACTGATCCAGTCCCATCTCGCTCTGATAAGTTGACCGCGTCATCCAAGAGCGCCCCGCTATAATGTTGCAACGAACGCGACGTGTTCAGGATGAGGGAAGCGAAGCCCGGCCGGCCTCGGCGACACCCTGACACCCTGACCTCCCACCCAGCACGCACTGCAGCTCTGAAGTAAGAGGCGTTGTTCCTTGCAGCCCATACTCCCACCTCCAACAGCCGAGGAGAGGTCAGGGGAACGCTACAGCCATTGTTTTTGTGACGGTAGCATCGCCCAATTTAATATAGCTTTAAATGATAAAAAATATATTTTTTCTTAAGGGAATAAGATTCTGTGATTCTTAAAAGGTAAGTTTGGTGCTGTATAACTCTTCAAGACAGACTTCAACCATTATCAATTTCCATCTGCTGTAACCGTTCGTCCTTCTCATCGGACTTGTTTTCCTGTCATTCTGATTCACAAATGCCACTTGGGGGCTTAAAACCACCTGTGCTCACAGCTCATCGCAGGGCAGGCATCTGGCGGGCACCATCACCTTTAACCCAAAGAACAACCCTGAAAGGAGATACCGTTACGATCCCCGGTTCACATGTAAGGAATCTGTTTAAACGCAAGCCGAAGTCCAAATCATAGATGGAGCTGGCACGTCAGTACCCCAGGTCATCTAGCTCATGCCCTTGTTTATATTTGATACTTAGGCAAAGAGTAAAAAAAACGACCTCACGCTTCTTGGCATCCAGTATAGAAATATCTCTAATCACATTCTCTTAGAGAATCAGAATTTTTCCTAAAACCACCTTTAATATATTTTTGCATATCAGGGGAATAGTTACATAAATGCCAAAACACTATTACACTTCCATTATACTGATGGGAAGTAAAGGGTAAATGGCAGAGAACATTGTAAATTTAGATCTGCTTGGGCCTATCTAGCCCAGTGTGTCTGACAGTGCCTGGCAAATATTAGAAGCGCCACAACGAAGTGCATATTATCAAAGTATAGCCTAACCTTCCTGATGAGCTTTCTCAGAGTATTGTAACGGCTTCCTTAAACCTCTGGACTCAGAGTCTCCTGATCATTACGAAAGGTTTGCTGATAAAAACAGACGATGCTGGAAATGACGTGCCTCCTGCTCATCTTATCTGCTTTTTATTCCCCCCCGTGCTCCCACAGTCACACCACAATTGCATGAGTGTATATTTGATGAATGGACTGTAAAGTTTTAAAATAATAGATTTACCAAAATACCTGAAAATAAACAATATTTTCCTAGAAACTCAGAATTAATTTAAATTTCCTTTTATTTCATGTTATCACCTCAAGCTCACAGACCCTATTTGTTCTTTCCTATGGCAAAACCTATTTCTTTACAGCTAAGTTTGAGTTTAATAAGAAAAGTGCTCCAAGTAGCCTAATAATACTAATTATGTTTCCTGTTATATTATAAACTTGAGTTTACATGAATCTTTAGACTTGAGGCTCTGGTTTTTTCCTACCATGGCAGTGCTCTGGGTTATTTCTCAATTTTCATCAGAGCTTAGCTCTCACTCATTTTCTTTCTGCATGAGAAAAAGATTTTGCTGCGTCTTTTCCCCTATAATAGCAGAACAAGGGAGAGTCGGCTGCATCCATGTCAGTCCTCCTGTGACAGCCCCGTGTGACAGGATCGCCCTGTGCCTGCCTTTTATTCCCGCTCTTCATGGCCTCTGAATATAAACGAAAAGCTCATTTAAACCGCTTAACTATAATTGCTTTTAAACTCTTCCTCTAGTCAACGTCCCGCTTACTCTAAGTCTGTATCTTTGAAGGAAGTTTAGCATAGTCTATGCCTTTTTCCTCCCAGAACCTACATCCGAGGAGACATTTTTTCACACGACTATAAAACTGTCTCCTCGCAGCAACACCGAGGCTGCACAGCTCTGGCTGAGTGTGGGCTGTCAAGGCAAGCTCCCTGAATCCCAGCTCTGCCACTTAGCTACGTGATCTTGGGCTAATTCCTTAACCTTTCTGTGCCTTGGTCTCTCCATCTGTAAAATGGGAACAATAATAGAGCCTCTACCTTAGGGTTGTTGTGAAGATCAAGGAAATGACAGGTAAAATCTGTATTGATGCAGACCTGGTACATAGTAAGCGCCTAATAAATGCTCAATATTATAAAGAACCCTGTAAACAGAGTATCCTTAAGAGTAATAGAATTTAATAAGATTTACCTTGTAGCTGGTCAAGGTCATTGCCCCTAAACCGAAGGAATCTGTGGAACCAGAAGAAACTTCTGGAGCCATGGGGGGGAAAATAATATGAGCAATATTGTACATAGAAAAATAAAGACTCATAATAATGAGCATTTTAAATGTTCAGTTTAACAAACATTTAGCACCTGTGATATGCAAGATAACGTGCTTATAATCATCCAGTGAAGGATGATGTACTGGAAACTACTGGCCCCTCAGGAAGTCGGTGCCCAAGCTGAGCTCGGAGCCTCAGTTCCTGGGGAAGCGAGCGTCCGCCGTGGCCGTGACACGCCGCGTGCAGACACTGCCTCACCCTGCAAGCGACGACAGCGACAAGCACAGTGCTGGCCCTCGGGGAGCTCGGACACGAGCGGCTGCTAACGCAGCAGGCGGACGGGAACGGAAACGCCCTCAGTGCGAGGTCAACCCGACATCGGTGCCACCCGAAAGGAAAGATTCACGCAGGTGATCGCACAGAGAGCGGGACGACTTCAGTCTGCAGCCTCGTGAACGTCTCCATGGAGAAAGGGCCCACTGCCTCTGGGGCTTAAAGAGGAAGTCGCAACGAAGACAGAAGATGGGGAATCTCAGGCACTGAAAACTGCAAGAAGAGACTATTCCCTTAAGCTGACACCTCGGCAATGTGCCAGGGGCGGAGGTGGGACCAGGAACGTCACTGGGACTCACGTTTCGTGGGCTTTGATTGACAGGTTGAGCGTTGAGGAAGCGCAGTGGGTACCAGATTTGTGGGGGAATCACTTGGAAAGTTAGATAAATGTCTAACCACTGTGCCGTCCACCTGAAACTAATGTGTTATTGACTCAACTGTAATCGAAAAATAAAATAAGATTTAAAATAATTTTAAAAAATAAACATATATAAACTTTAAAAAAATTTTTTAATTAAAAAAGGAAGTTTAGGAAGCATACGATAAGTCTTCGTCCTGCATCTAATGCTCCTAAAGTGACCACCGGCAGTTATAAAGCCCTCGAAATATTAGGGAAAAGGAAAAGTGTTGAAAATGAGAGGGAAGACAATATTATGTTTTATTGCCAGTCTCTGATTTATACAGTGGTCACAATATTCAAAATTCTTTTAATCGTATGACCTTTTGATCACAGTTTCAATCGAATACATTTTTTTTTTTTAAAGATACTATTAGGCTTGTAAGATCTCTGTAATATGCCCCTGACTGGGTCCCACATTTTCCTATCTCGGGAAATGAGAAAATGTCCTCAAGGTACGTATCAAACGGGCTACTTCCTGTCTGGGCACCGTCTGCAGAGCAGTGGGCGGGCCCTGCTGGGTCCCTGTGGGCCGGGCCGGGCGGCAGGGCGCTGTGACCTCCCTGTCCCCTGGGTGTTTTTCAGGAGAGGCACGCGGCGGAGGTGCGCAGGAACAAGGAGCTGCAGGTGGAGCTGTCCGGCTGAGGCTGCAGGTACGGCGCCCCACCTGATCGATGCCCGCCTGTGTTACGACGGGTCACGCGATATCGGTATGGGAAATGTATGACATGGTTTAAAAAGAACTCACTATTTAAAAAAAAAAAAAAACGGAATCAAAAATAAAAAAAAATCAATGCGGTCTCTTTGCAGAATGTTTTGCTTGATGTTTAAAAAATACCTTGGATCTTATTTTGTAAATACTTACATTTTTGTTAAAAAATACAAGTATTGCATTATGCAAGTTATTTCATAATCTTACATGTCCTGTAACAGGCTTTCGACGTCATGTCTCTCCACCCGAATGAGTTTGCTAGGTCTGTTCCTTTCCGAGCTCCCCACGTCTGACCTTCCCTGCCCTTCCATCCCATCAGAAAACGAGGTCAGTAGACAGTCTATGGTGCTAGAAACCCACCATTGCCTGATGACCTAGACGGCTCTGTCGCCTCTGAACTTGACTAAGACCATCCCTAGATCACAGGTGTTAGGACTCACCCCGACCTCCACATTTGTTCGCTCGTAATCTACTTACTGCCTAGAAGGGACAAAACGGGGCTAAGAAAAACCACCAACCGCAGCAGTGACTTCTGCTTCTCCTGGGTTATGTGCCACAAATGTGCCTGGCTTCAGACAGGGATGGATGAGGGCAGATGGGCGATCAGTCTGGGTAGAAGCAAAAACCGAACCTTTTAAAGTGCTACCTTTGAAACGGTCCAAGCAGCCGTGAAAACGCTTTGTGAAGTGAGCTTAATTCTCTAGTTTATTTTGATGGAATGAATTAAGTAATGTGTCAGGTGGCTTATTTGTGGGTGCCATGGTTGATGATGTTCCTTTTAAGCTCTTACCTGTAGTACAAGTACATGATTCTACTGAACCCTTTTTCACTTGGAAACTGTGAGCTGGTTGTCGCATTCACACACGCACACACACACACACACACACGCACACACTCTCAAAAGCACTGCGGACTTAACTCTCAAGCCGGCCTTTCTCCACCACGGTGAGGCAATCCTGCCTATTGGAAAAAAGTCACCCCACCCGTGCGGGCGGCCGCGGCTAGGGGGTCAGGCAGGGCACTCGCGCCGACCAGGAGACGCCCCAGACACCACCGCGCGCTCCTGTCGCAGTTTTGAAGTCGTTTCTCCCCCAACTCCCCGCTCCTGACGGTCGCTGCCTGCATATTTACTCCTCGTTAGCGCTATTTTCCTGTATGTCATTGTGAGCAAGCTGTGATCAATAAAGGATTGGAGTTCTGTGAACTACTAAAGGTTTGGTCTGTTCTCTTGCCCCTCCGCGTGGCTGGCCCTGCAGGTCGGAGGGTGAAATGGCCGGTGGGCGAATGGCCTCGTGGGAGAAGAGACAACGGCAGCATTTAAGATCTTGCTCCCCGGCAGAGGCCGTCGGTTTGGCTGAAATAGACTCTTATAAAAAATTCTAATAAACAGATAAATAGGCAAGTAAATAGATAACTAGATAGAAAATAAACCAGGCCCTGTCTGTGACCCAGATGGACCCTACGGGACCAAAGGAACCACGTCCAGTTTTAGCAGAAAGTCCTGAATAATTGACACCACACAGATTTATGAATAAGTAAACCGGGCCATGAAGCCCAGGGGCGCTCACAGCCACGCTGAGGGCTGAGGCCACCTAGGCGCTGTGGCAAGCATCCTTGGTGTGGGGGGGTCTGACTGCCACAGAGGATGCGCAGGCCTAAAACATCTTCCCTTTGGGAGCTCAACCCGAGCCTCTGCCTGGCATGGAGTAAGCTATGTTTGCACACTGGGTTTTACGTAACTTAGTTTGGAGAACATTCCTTCCGGGGGCCCTGGCCCTGTGACGAAGGCCGGGAAACAGGAAATCGAGGGGCTGTGAGAAGCTCGCACCCGAGTTGCTTATTTTGGCCCAGAACCGACCGGCAAACGGGATGCTCTGGCCGGTCCTCGCACACAGTGAGGGGACGCGCATCATTTCTGTGAAGCTTTCTGAAACATTAGAAACAGCTGACGACTACTCACTGCGCTGTGGGCAGCATTTCTCATACAGTTTGTGGTCCCTAAACTGGGCCTGCCGACCGGTCCAGCTGCCGAACCTTGAAGGCGATGGCACCGCGGCCCAGAGAGGGATGGGGGCTCTCGCTCCGGGCCCAGCACCCACTTCCCGCCACCCTTCGTGACAGTAGCTCGTCGGCAGGCCATGCCCGCCTCTCGCCACCCTGGTGGGGACGGGTCATATCTGCGACAGTCCCCTAGACCAGGGGTCCTCAAACTTTAGCATATATCAGTCATCTAGAGCAGTGGTCCCCAACCCGTGGGCAGCACACTGGTTCTGGTCCGTGGCCTGTGAGGAACCGGGCCGCACCGCAGGAGGCGAGGGAAGCTTCGTCTGAATTCGCAGCCGCTCCCAGTGCCAGCATCACCACCAGCATCACCGCCTCGGATCAGCCTTGTGTCACCCTTGCGTTCCCAGCCTCAGATAAAACAGTCATCCCTGACTTCCGAGCAGATAATCCGCTGAAAAATTGCTAAGGAAAACACAGAACCCAGAGCAAAACCAAGGTCCCCAAGCTGGTCCCAAGCTGCTCCCCGAATTATCCCTGAGCCGACTCAGCCTCCTCATCGTCCCACCACCCACCTCCAAATGACCGAGTGGCATCCGTCTGTCCTCTCGGCTGCCCCTCGGCCCTCGCTTCTCTTCTGCTCTCGTGACCACTGACTGCTCCAGTCTGGGTCCTGCCAACCGACAAGTCTCCTGGGCCCACGCTCTGGCACCCTCCTCTGCCCTCCTCCCCCTTGTCGCAGGGTGAACTCTGCACTCCTCTGCCTGGCACCAAAGTGCCACCATCCCTCTCTTCTCTCGAAAGCATCGCTCCCCTCGGACGCCCAGCTAGTCACTCCGACAAGCTAAGCACAGGAAGTCTCTGGCCTCCCTGTCCTCTGCCTAGAATGATCTCTACAACAGTCAGGAAACGCTGGATCAGGCTGCGATGAAAACGTGTGAAATCTCAGTGAAATAAACCACCCAGGTTTATTTCTCCGCCCTCTCTGCACACGTGTCCAGCGTGAGTCTCTACAGACCGTCGAAAGCCTGCGGACAAGCCCCGCTGCCTGGAGCAGAAGAGGCAACACGCGAGAAGAATAAATCGTCGCTGTCGCGAGCCGCCGAGGCTTGAAATGGTTTGTGACACTACACTATGAGATTGTTAATATGACGTCTGAGATTGCTCAGAAGATCGAGGGAGCTAATCGAAAACAGCTCCGCACAGCACCTGGCGCATAGTAAAGATTCCGCAGTTATTAATCACAAACATGTATCATCCTGTACGAGGCTGTGTTTGCTCAGCCATTTCGTTGAGCCACAAGCTCCTCTAAAGCAGCCTCTAATTTACCGTCGCATCTCCAGTATTTAGCAGTGTTCAGTACACACGTCCACACACATGCGCACACACACACAGAGGAACGAAAAAACAAAATGGATTAGTGAATTTGAGCAAGAAAACAGGAGTGCGGGGCGTGGCACACGCAGGCGCTTAGTAGGTGTTAGTTCCCATCTCCTTCCTCTCTAGCCCGAGAGCGTCTGCTTCAGTCCGCGTTATCTGAGCTCGAAATGAAGCTTTATGTCATACGAAGGTCCATTCTAGGTGACCGGTAAGACAGACTTCGGTGACAACTGGAAAAGCTGCTGACACCCAACCCCAGAGAAAAACGGGATGAAATCGCTTGGGGCAACTTGCAGCCAGGGCCGCAACGTCGAGCTTCCAGCCACATGCCACCGAACCCCGCAGGTCCCCGCTGGGCTGTGGGTCCACTGCAGGTTGGGAAGCTCCCGTCAGCCCCTTGGGAACTGGCATCTGGCCGACGGCCCCACGTCCAGGAACAAGGAAGCACGAGGTGACCCCCAGCACCGGTCCTGAGCCCCATCCTGCACTGGCTCCCCGAGCCGCACACCCCCTGTCAACAGCGCCTTGCCCATTGGGGGCCCACCCTCCCCAGGACACTGCTCCCCTCAGTCTTCCCAAGGAGACATGCCAAGTGTCTGCTTTGCGCTTGGGGCCCCTCCCAGACCATCCTACCCCTCCCTGAGACACCTGCTCCCAAATCTCCTGTCACCAGACCATCCGACCTCTTCTCTTGGCTGCTGGTGCTCGATGCCACCCCTGGGACATGTCCCCTCGCCTCCCGACGACTCTCGGTTCCTGATCACTGCGGCTCTCGTTGGTGTACTTCTGTCCCAGGGACTGGCCACTTTAAAAGCCACGCAGACGGCGCTTCCACGCCCTGCTCCGCATCCCCGACCCCCAAGCCTCTCCTTTCTCTGCTGCTCGCCCTCACGGCCTTCCCTGGACCTCATCGTCATTGCAGTCACAGCCCCTCCCCCATCCCCACGCCAGGCATGCCACTCCTGGACCATCTCCTCCTCCCGGTGAGCCCCTTGGACACCTGCACGGCCCTTCAGCCACGCTGGGACCCCGGGCCCTGGAGAGCACCTTCACGTCCCATTGCTCCATGGCGATCGCCTCCCTCCGTCCCAGCTTACTGCCCAGTGCGTCTGTGACGCACCCCCACACCTTCCTCCCCGAATGGGCCGCTCTCGGCTGCCAAACCCTGACCCCAGCTGCACTAACACTCCACGCGGCCCACGCCTGTACCCACACAGGGGACCCCAGCTATAGAAATCACACGGCTGCTGTGACTGGTCTTCCCTTAAATGCACGAACGTGAACTTCAGGCGAGCCGCTGAGGTTTCCCGGCGGGCCCATTCATTTCTCTGGTTTTACTCTTATGCTCTCTTAACCCTCCTCGGACTTCTGACCACTCCCCTGTCCCCACACTCCGCCGATGGCTCTCCTTCCCACTTCAGAGAAATGAAGTCACCTGAATAGAGTGTCCAGAGACTCCTGCCAACACATCTACCACGCGCACCGTGTCCTACCTTCCTGTCTCCACAGACGAGTTGTCCAAAGCCGGCCGTGCCGTCCCAGCGCGAGATCCCGCCTTCTCTCGCCCAAGGCTGCTCCAGGATTCTCTCCTCTCCCTCCTAGTCCATCATTTTTCC